TGCAGAGTGGTCATGAGATTTTGGATAATTGTGCAGAGCAGTTACCACCATACCCAGCTACTCCTAAGGAATCTCTATTCCATTTTTGACCCAGTTGGACTCTAAACTTAGAGGCGGCCAGGTATGGTGGCTCACGCCTATAATCCTAGAACTTTGGGAGGCCAAGGCAGGTGGATCACTGGAATTCAGGAGTTTGAGACGAGCTCGGCCAACATGGGGAAACGCCGTCTTCACTAAAAATACAAAAATTAGCCGGGCATGGTGGCTCACACTTGTAATCCCACCTACTTGGGAGGCTGAGGCAGGGGAATCGCCTGAACCCGGGAGGCAGAGTGAGCCAAGATTGCTGCATTGCATTCCAGCCTGGGCAACAGAGTGAGACTCCATCTCAGTAAAAAAATAAATAAATAAACTTAGAGGCACACATGTGGAGATTGTTCTCAGGAATTAACTTCCTCTGGCTGGGTGCTTTTTTCCCGTTTGGCCTGCTAATGAGTAAGTGTCTCCAGAAGAAGATAGATGTTGGGTGGTGTCACTTTCTTCTCTTCAAGTACCTGCTGCTGAAAGTGCACCCAATAACTCCCTAAAGAGTGACACACGTCTGACTGGAGGCGTGAGACATCTGGCAGGCCACTCAGGAGAATGGCATTCCCATCCGAAATATGCCCAGTAACCCTTCAGATGCCTGAAGTGTTAGTTCTATCAGCAGCCTGGCCCAGCTCTTGGCATGCACCCCAAACTCTGATTTCCTTACTAGGAAGGTTTAGAATTAGTTTTGCAAGAGCTCCAATTTTGTGACACCCTAGGGAGTTTTCAGTTATCCCAAGGAGGTATTTTGAAATTCTGTAAACCAGAGTTCGTTTAAGTCTTTAAAAAGAGAGAGTGAGATTGAATCCACGTCATTCAGCAAGGAGGTGGGGTGATGCTACTGCAAAAGCTTACCCTCCACATCCACTGTTGTAAATGGAAGGGTTGAACTAAATCTTGGACTCTTTGAGGTGAAAGAGATAGGGGCAGTTGTCTCAGTTAGGCTTCTGTCTCTCTTATCGCTCCCAACGTGACCCTTTGGAGCCATATAAAAGAAAGCCTGCTCCATAGTCAATAGGTAGCTCTATAGCTATTTGAAAATAGCTGTCAGAGTGCCCCATTCTTTCCTTTGCCAACTTAAAGTTCCCTGGTATTTTATGTGAGTGGATCTTTATGACCTTTAGAAACTTTTAGAAGTCCTCCAGATAATCATTGATCAGTGTGCCACCTTTTTTTTTTTGAGACTGGGTCTCCCGCTGTCACCCAGGCAGGAGCTGGAGTGCTGGCTCACTGCAGCCTCTACCTCCTGAGCTCAAGCAGTCCTCCCACTGCAGCCTCCTGAGTTGCTGGGACTACAGGCATGTGTCACCATACCCAGATAATTTTTTTTTGTATTTTTTGTAGAGACGGGTTTCACCATATTGGCCAGGCTGGTCTCAGATACTTCAAGCGATCTGCCCACCTCAGCCTCCCAAAGTGCTGAGATTACAGCCGAGCCCGGCTAGTGTGCTTTTATTCACCTACTCAGTCATCCATTTATTTATTCTCTCCATACCAAGAATTTTTGCCATATTATAAGTGGTGATGGTTAAAAGCACAGGTTTTGCAGTCATACAGACATGACTTGGTCAAGTTACTGACTTTTTCTTGGAGTTGCTTCTATAAAATGGAGTTTTTAACACCCACAAATCTTTTGTGAATCTGGAGTGCTTGTAAAGAATTTATACTGACTGGGTGCAGTGGCTCATCTGTAATCAGCACTTTGGGAGTCTGAGGCAGGAGGGTCCCTTGAGCCCAGGAGGCCAAGGTTTGCAGGGAGCTATGATGGCGCTAGTGCACCCCAGCCTGGGTAACAGAGTGAGACCTGATCTAAAAAAGAACTTATGCTAGGGTCTGGTACGTAGAAAGTATTCAGTTGATGGAGGCTAAATTTCCTGGCTAAGTTAGATTGCTAGAGCACACCAGCATCATCTTGCTCCTAGTATTGAGAGGGTGGGGAAATAGGAGATTAAACTTTGTGGTCTGTTTACTAGAACCGTGATTAGAAGGCTTTAAGATGATTAGGAGTAGCTTCCTTGCAGCTTCCTTTCAGTTCCGTTTTTATTCCTTCACAGCAGTTTATTTGGAAGCCTTGGTTTTATTGAAGAACAGCGCCGTTAGTTTTGATAGGCATATCCTGCAGGATTTGAGGTTGTTAAAAACTTGAATGACAGAAGATGGATGAATGATTTAAGTACAGATGCTCTTCGGTTATTTAGATTATACAGCTAACCTTTTAAACTCTAAATATAAAAACTTTTCGACTTTTAACCTTTTAAACCTTAAGTTAAAAAACTTAAGAAATCTTTTAAGGGGGGAAGCATTGCTTGTTATCTCGTTGCAACAGTGTGTGAAATAGAGGCACTCAGCCTTTTTTTTTTTTTTTTTTTTTTTCCTCGAGATGGAGTCTTGCTTTGTTGCCTAGGCTGGAGTGCAATGGTGCAATCTTGGCTCACTGCAACCTCCACCTGCTGGGTTCAAGAGATTCTCTCCCCCTCAGCCTTCCTAATAGCTGGGATTACAGGCACCCGCCATCATGCCTGACTAATTTTTCCATTTTTGTAGAGACAGAGTTTCACCATGTTGGCCAGGCTGGTTTACTCCTGACCTCAGGTGATCCACCCTCCTTGGCCTCCCAAAGTGCTGGAATTACAGACATAAGCCACCGAGCCTGGCCAGCCCTCTTATTTATTATTTTGAGACAGGGCCTCACTTTGTCACCCAGGCTGGAGTACAGTAGCAGGATCTCAGTTCACTACAGCCTCAACCTCCTGGGCTCAGGTGATCCTCCCACCTCAGCTCCCCAGGTAGCTGGGACTATAGGCGCACACTACCGCGCCAAGCTAATTGTTTTTATATTTTTTTGCAGAGATAGGGTTTCACCATGTTGCCCAGCCTAGTCTCAAACTCCTGAGCTCAAGCAATCTACCCACCTCATCCTCCCAAAGTGCTAAGATTACAGGCATTAGCCACTGCATGCGACCTTAAATTCTTTATGTTATACTACACATAAGTAGAAGATGCTAGATAGAGAGACAGTATGGACTGGTTAAAATATTTCCTATAAAGGTATATCATACATCATTAATTAGCTTTTCCTTACTTCTTTGGTAAAAAGTCTGAAGTCAGAGCCTGTTTGCTTCAGTAATATGAGGGGAGCAAGCAGCAGCCACTCCCCCAAACCTGGGAGGCTATGCTACCACTTTATGAAGAGTGGGTATCTCACAGTGGGTGGGGACAGGCTTTATGGAGTGCGTGGTTCTTCCTGGGAATCCCAGAATCCATTCACATTATAGCATTCTCCATACTGAGTCAGGTAGCAGACTGAATGAAGATTGGATTGTCATTGCCTTTGGTTGGTCATTTGAAGTAACGTCACCCAGCAGCCCAGAAATGGAATGGTCTTGCTCTTTCCTTGTGTACATTTTATTCTGATCTTTTCTTTTTTTTTTTCTTTTCTTGCTACTTGTTTATACAGGAAGTTCACAAAGAATCTCAGACTAAACAGGAAGTGATTTTTTTCCAGTGTCAAGGGGTACTAGCAAGACTGAAGATGGGCAGGAGAAGGAGAGGGAATAGGTGGCCTGTGGCCTGGTGGCTCGTTGTTTCCTTCAGTGGGTTTTATGTAAAATCCCTAAACACTTTAGGTTTATGGGCTGTGCACACTTCTAAGTAAATCTGCTTTTCTAAATTGGTTTCATCAACTTGAAAATGAAACTGAAGTGCTGGAGATACACCTGGGTCTAATTTACCTTGATCCTGTTTGGTTATTTTCCCTTTTTAGTAGGTATTTTAACAAAAGGCCAAAATTTCAAGTGTATTTCTTTGGCTTTAGGAAATTTACCGTTTGTTTAGAGTAATTTTTCTCTATTTAAGGTTCAAAATAAAAAGATTGAATCCTTTCGAAGCAGAGGATCTCAGTGTTAATCATGTTAACGAGCATAGGCTTTGGAGAAAGACCTTCCCGGGTTTGAATCCGAGGGCTGTCACTTAGTAGTTGTGTCATTTAGGCATCAGGTTTAAAAGAAATAATATTTGGCAGGCTGGGCAACATAATGAGACCCCCATGTCTCCAGAAAATTTAAAAATTAGCCTGAGTGCATGCCTTTGGTCCCAGCTTTGGGAGGCTGAGGTGGGAAGATCGCTTGAGCCCAGGAGGTTAAGACTGCAGTGAGCTGTGACCACGCCACTGCCCTCCAGCCTGAGCAACACAGGGAGATCCTGTATCAAAATGATGATAATAATAATTTCTGGAACTTACTCTGTGCATAGTAAGTTCTCAAGTGGTGGTTGCTGCTGCTGCTGCTGTTGCTGCCAATACTTCTTGAAGAAGGTGACTGGGGAAAAAGTAGCCAAAAAAATACTTTGTCCTGTTAGTTGACTTTACTTTTTCCTAATGTGGACACAACTGAGAATTAGCTCCAAGCTAATGTATCAAAGGACATTCTCATTTGGGGCTATCAGCCCTAGCAACATGCCTGATCTCTTTTCTAGAGGTAGGAAATTATCTGTTTTCCATTTCATCTCTTTAAAAGATTTTAGCCATCTTTGAGTATGAAACATCTATTATCCTTGTAGGGTGTTTGGAAAACTTCCTGTTTACTCCAGTGCATCCCTGGTAGAGGATGTAGATAATCATCGTATTGTTATTTTATTACATAAACATGGGCTGCTTCTTATAAACATCTTTGTTCTAATAATGTGGTCTCATATTCAAGGTGTGACTATGTGGCAGCTTTCTGGCATCTTATGTGATATTTGGAGGCCAGAGATAAAAAATTAGTGAGATGTGCCAAGCAAGTCTTTCCACTCCTTCTTGAAATCTTTCTAGCAGTTTTTATGTCACTGTTTCCCCTCTGGAACACTTACTGATGTTTCAGCTACATGTTGGTACTCACTTTGTTTTTATGCTTCCTTTTCTCTTTCCTGGACAGAAACCAAAGCCCAAACCCCGGCCATCCATCACAAAGGCAACCTGGGAGAGTAACTATTTTGGGGTACCCTTAACAACTGTCGTGACTCCAGAGAAGCCGATCCCCATTTTTATTGAAAGATGTATTGAGTACATTGAAGCCACAGGTAAGAGTGTTACCTCATAGCAGTTTATACCTTTCACTGTCTACAGGATGCTTACTGGAGGGCCAAGCCATCTGGAAATTCTGGAATCAGTTGTTGAGTGTGAGGTGCTCTTGGAGAAGGAGCTGAGCAGTCACGACAGCTGTCAGATGTGTGGATTCTCCATTTGTGTGCAGTTTTGAGGCTGATGTTGGGCATTTCTTAGGCCTTGGCCTACAAAGGAGCCGTTCTGCACTTAGGGTGGCAGCTGTGCCTACTTGGGTGTTTTCTCTGTGCTGTGTCACCCACCAAAGCATCAGCACTCTGTCAGTCGCCTGCCCGCCCGTGCTCCCTGCAGGTCTGCGAGCCCCTTGAGGGTTTTGCTATCATCGTGTCCTCGGTACTTCGGTGGATACATAATACATTTTGGTTTGGTAAAATGAGTACAGCCCTCAGCATTGATCAGGCGCCTGAGACTCATGTATTGATGGGATTTTTTTCTGAAGTAAGAAAATGATCAGGATGCTTGGGATATCTAATGGTTCTGTAGCTCTTTGACAACTTGATGCTATGGCAAAGGTAGACTGTCTTGGAAAGTTTTTTGCATTGTTCTTGAAATAATTAAGTTTTACTTGTGTTGAAACTGTTTGCTTTATTCATTTAGAGCTCTCGTGTCCCTTTGGCCTTCCTGTTTCGCTAAGGTGGGTTCTTGAGCATTAGGAATTGGGCTCAGGAACACAAGCTTAAACTAACTTGAAACTGGGGTAGGGATGACAGCCTTGCTATGTGTTCTTTCTAATTCTGATGTTATCCACAATGGCATTAAGTATCATGTGGTGTGGACAGCCTACTGGGCTCTGCTGATAATTTCACCAGCGTCGTGTGAAGCTGAGTGACATTGTTCATATTTACTTAGGATATTGCAAATCAGGGAAGATAGCTTTATTTATTTATTTATTTATTTTTGAGATAGAGTCTCATTGTGTTGCCCAGGCTAGGATGCAGTGGGGTGATCTCGGCTCATTGCAACCTCTGCCTCACAGGTTCAAGTGATTCTCCCACCTCAGCCTTCCTAGGCATTACAGGTGCCTGCCACCGCGCCCGGCTAATTTTTGTATTTTTAGTACAGATGGGGTTTCACCATCTTGGCCAGGCTAGTCTTGAACTCCTAACCTCAGGTGATCTGTTTGCCTTAGCCTCCCAAAGTGCTGGGATTACAGACATAAGCCACCGTGCCCAGCTGAGGATAGCTTTTAAGTTGAAGCTCACCAAAGACTTTACAGTTATTTCCTAGGTTTCTCTGTGGCACTCCAGGCTTGAATCTCAGTAAGCACTTTGCATAATCCATTACCAATCCACAGCTTTGTTTAGTCCATTCTGTACCCAAAGCCATTTCTCAGTGTCCATCTTTTTTTTTTCCTGCTGTAGCACAGGGGTCTCACTTATTGCCCAGGCTAGTCCCAAAACCCTGCTTCAAATGATCCTCCTACCTTGGCCTCCTAAAGTCCTGGGATTATAGGCCTGAGCTACCGTGCCTGGCTTCAGTGTCCATCTTTTTGACACTGGTTTTATATTAATTTCTTTCTTCATCTCTCTGTAAAATGATTGAAAGTTGCAGGTATGATACGCACCTTTACATACATACATACATACATACATTTATTTATTAGGCAGAGTCTCACTCTGTCATGCAGGCTGGAGTGCAGTGGCACAATCTCAACTCAACCTCTGCCTCCCAGGTTCAAGCAATCCTCCCACCTCAGCCTCCTGAGGTGTGCACCACCACAGGCGTGCACCACCACACCTGGCTAAATTTTTTGGTATTTTTAGTAGAGACGGGGTTTCACCATGTTGATTAGGCTGGTCTTGAGCTCCTGATCTCAAGTGGTCCACCCACCTCAGCCTCCCAAAGTGCTGGGATTACAGGTGTGAGCCACCACACCCAGCCTGCACCTTTACTCTCAAATACTTCACTGGGTATTTTCCAAAAACATTTTCTTGTAGAACCACTGTGCATTTATCAAAATTAGGAAGTCAACATTTATCTAGTACTAATCTGTCTGAAATCTAATCTATAGACATTCTCGTTTCATCAGTTTTCCCACTAACGTCCTTTATAGCAATAGGCAAAACACTGTTTTGGTCTGGGACCACATGTTTCATTTAGTGGTCAAATTTCTTTAGTCAGTTGGGTTCATCTGAAACAGTTGGGTTCATCTGTTTTTCATGACCTTGAGAGTTTTAAAGAACACAGATCAGTTCTTTTGTAGGGTGTTCCTCAGTTTGGCTTTGTTTTCCCTTTTTTTTTTTTTTTAATTAATTTTTTGTATTTTTAGTAGAGATGGGGGTTTCATGTTGCCCAGGCTGGTCTTGAATTCCTGAGCTCAAGCAATCCACACGCCTTGGCCTTCCAAAGTGCTGGGATTACAGGCATGAGCCACCGCCCCGGGCCTTGGCTTTGTTTTTGTGATCGGTTTCTGGATTTGCACTTCTGGCAGATGCCGCAGGACACCAATGCTGTGTCCTTCTCAGTGTATGCCAACTGGAGGCTTGTGATGTTGATGTGTGCCATCCCTAGAGCTGTTCTCTTTGATCACTTGGTAAATCTGGTATCTGCCAGGCTTTTCCACTGTGAAGTTACTTATTTCCCCTTTGTAATTAATACATTTTTTGTGGGGAGATGCTTTGAGACTCTCTAAGTAGCAGGTTTCTCCTAGTACTTCCACCCACTAGTTTTGAGCATCCATTGATGATTTCACGACAGTGATCACCATAGTTCTTCTAACTTGCTCATTCTTTCTGCGCTTATTAGTTAGCATTCTGTTGTCGGACAGGGCTTGCCCTTCCCAAGGGGAGCCTTTCAGTGGTCTCCCTGAGCGATTCACTGCAGCAGCAGCAAGTGCTGAACTGTTCCCCACATGCCCTCTAACTGAGCGCAGCCATGGGCCTGACCTAACCTTGCTTCTCCAGCTCTTAAACTTCCCACTCAGCATGATAACTTTTTTACATCCAATGATGAAGTGATACTTCCCCTTGCCGTTGTACTTGTGAATCCTCAGTCCTCCAGCAGCCATCATCAAGATGCTGCTTCTCTTAAAGCTCTGTTAGACTACAACACCGTCCAGCCTGGCCCAGAACACTTGGAGCTTCAGGGTCATCTCTGACACATCTGATCAAATCCCAAGTCTGTCGGTTCTGCTTTGCCATCTCTTTGCTCTGTCCTCTCCGCTTCATCTCTGCTGCCCACCATCACCCACCTTCTCAGTCTATTCTATGGATATGACGATTCATCTGCTGAAAACCCATCCTCCCTTCCTTGCTGCTCACCAGCTGCAGACCACACTCATAACCCTCCTGCCCCGTCTCAGGAACAGCAGGACTGTTACCATGCATTGTCCCCTGCCTTCCTTTTTTTTTTTTTTTTTTTTTTTTTTTTTTTTTTTTTTTTTTTTTT